GCAAGATTGCGCTCTACCGTACTTCATTCGACGAACTTAAGAGGGTGAGCGGCATTGATGACCTCAAGGAAATTGTTCACAAATACGTCAAGTCAGAGGAAGAAACCTTTTCTCTCTTTAATTACGTTCAAGCCCAGAACCAGGAGACTGATTGGACCCTGGAGCGTCACACACGCCTCGAGGAGGAGATTAAGACATATGAAGAAAAGCTGAGCGATGAAGAGGCCCAGCGCGCGGAGGCCATGGCTGATCTGCAGGGCAAATGGCGAAATGCCAAGGAAGCCACCGATGAGTGTAGCCATGCAGCCCAAGAAGCGCAACGCACCCTAGAGCGCATTGCAAAGAAAGTCCAGTCCTTATTCTTCAAGATTCAATGCGATCAGCTCACGACAGGAGCACGCGAGACCAAAGGCACTAAAGGGGCTGCTCAAAAAGCCAATATAGGGCGCCCTGATAGCCGACTCGCCTTACTGTCTGGCCAAGGTGTGACGGAGTCAAACATTCTTGCATATGCGGAGCTCATCGAACAGCGCGCCCTCGAAATTATGTCAGATTACACGCGCCGTATGAACCATCAAGAGCAACGTCACATGACACCTGTTCTCGATCCAAGCCGCAGCCTGAGTATTGTTAACCAGCAGGACCAGGTAAAAGCCCCCGATATTGATGTTGACGATGATGATGATAACGAAGATGAGGGTCGCCCGATTGCTCTAGAGGAGATGCGCCGTCGTACTGCAGAGAAGATATCAAAGAAACACCAGGCTATGCGCCTCGGAGTCAAACGAAGAGACCATGCAGCTCAAGGTAAGAGCTCATCTGTCTCAAGAGCAACAAAGCAAAATTAAAATACATGCAAGGTCAAGCAACTGGCCACCCCCCGGGCTCTGCTCTGTCCTGGCACCGCCGCTGTATGCCGGCCGGAACTGCCCTCAAGCGCCGGCACTGCCCCCAAGCGTCGGCACTGCCCTGAGCGCCCAGATCGCCCGTCCCCGGCAGTAGATATAGGCGTGCGGGATAATAATGAGAATGGTGTGGCCTAAGCTAACCGTCAAGGTGCACTTCCTATATTCAGCTTGGAGTTCACAGTGAGGCGGTCATATTTGGCTTAGTCGCCTACTCGTATCTTTTGTACGAGGATACGCGGGTGCGGTATCCTCTTCTCTCTTTCTCTTGCACACTTAGCACTATTTAGAAGTATGCGCCAAATGGGGGTCATCGCTACCAAGATATACATTGGTCCATCAAATATAAATTAAAAAAGAAACCAAAAAAGGAGGTGGCCGCGGGCGGCCTTGCTAATTTTGGATACACCAGCGGTTCCGAGTCGCCCTCGTCCGATGGACGTGCGCTCGTCCGACGGCCGTGCGCTTGTCCGACGGCCGAGTCCCCGTCCGAGGGCGCCGATTTTGGCCGTCCGAGGGCCTGAGGGCGCCGCACCATCGACTCGCACCACCGTGACCATGACGAGCCTCCAGTCGCAAAAGAAGCGATTCAAACGCTGATCCGCCGGAGCACGCCTGGCCAGGGTGAAAAACAAACGAGCTCGCTGTGCCGGTAGCCGCGCCGGCACAGAGACGGCCTGCCCGGGGTGTGCCGGCACAGTCGAATCCGGCTTGTGCCGGCTTGTGCCGGCACATTCCGGTGTGCCCGCACACCGCGCGCGCACTTGCGCGCGGTCCGCGGAAACGCGTCTATGCAAGCTATAAAAGCAGCTAGTTGGAGGCTAGTTACTTCTTCTGCGCAGGGCCCCGGTTTCTCGCAGCACCGGGAGTCGTATATCATCGCCCCTATCAATTTCCTTGAGAGGGGCTCTCGGTTGGTCGGTCGCCGCCGCCGCCGCCGCCGCCGCCGCCGCCGCCGCCGCCGTCGTCGTCGTCGTCGTCGTCGTCACGCGCGCGTAGAAATTCGAACCCACAATCAAGAAAAAATGGAAGGACGAATTCGTAAATAAACCACACGAAACGACCATCGACCCAGGGGCTGCCCCGTCGGACGCGAAGATCGCGACCGGAACACTATGTAACGCGACGCGCGCACGATGTCATGACGCTGAAACGCACTGTGCCATGGCATGGTGTTCAAAGCGACTCCGGGCCCGCCCCCGGGGCGCCGGTCGCAGCCATAACGTGCACAGGGGCGCTTCAAGCGAATCAATTCAGCATCCGAGGGTTAGAATGACATTGTGTTCCAACTGTTGTGTTCCCGCTGTGCCGGCACACGCCCAGGCCCCGGCCCCGTCGACTTTGGGCCCGACCAAATGTGCCGGCACACCGACAAAACGCTATTTCTGGTTGTGCCGGCACACTTCGCTCCGCTAGATCTGCCGGCACACTGTGCCGGCACAAGATACACCCAGCAGGGGGTAGACGCGCGCCGAATTTTTTTCCGGTCTTCAGCCTCCCTTTAGGCCCCACTCGACCCGACTAATATCCCGGCGCGGCTAGCTTAACGCAGATAGTCCTCACCGCGCGGCTGGCGCCCCAAAAAGTTTTGCTTTTCACCCTGCGCCTGGCTCGGCCGATTCCGCCACTTTGTCGACCGACGCGTGCGCGCGCGAAGTCGGGTCTACGAGACAAAGAAGGGCGTTTCCGGCCCCCCTAGAGGTAGCAGTCGACAGCGCCAATCGCTCTCGGGCCGCTCGACGCGCGCGTCCGTGCGCGCCGGGGGGGCTGAGTCTAGTGGCGGGGGCTTATCCAGGGGAGCTAGAGGGGCACCTAGGCGAACCGAGCTAGCTGACAGCTAGGCTGACAGCTAACCGTCCAGCGTAGGTTGGTTTGGAGGAGCACATCTAGGCCTACATCTGAGTCTACATGTCGTGGCCGTGGTAGGGTGTGTCAATTGGTGTGTGTGTTCTCCTGTCCGCGTTTCAAGCATGTTGTCCTGCGAGATTACCGGCGCGGCTATAGTGTGAACGACACATATTGTCACGCCGCCTCGGCTGACTACTTCTTACATTGTACATCTAGATGTCAGCGTGCGGCGCAAAACGAGCTGCTGCGTCCTTTTGGTGCAACTGCGGTCTCTCCATAGAAACTTCAAAGCAGCGCAAAAGTAATAGTTTGGCACACAGAATCGTTCGTGCTACGGAGACGGCTCGTACATCTCTACAGAGACTGTCGGCCTCTTCAGGCGATCGAAAAACCTTGGCAACATGTGACTATTTTGCAGCATTGATTTTCGCGCACGCACCAAATGAATTCATCATATGCATTGAAGATATGATCGAGGACTCCCTCACAGAAGTGCATGATTCATTTTTCAGTGGCGACGATCTCTCAGACTTGGGCTCTGCTATGCAACCTATTTCATCTAAAGTTTTTGTATCGTTCTGGAACAGTATACAAGAACTTCAGTGGTGTCATTTTTTTGATGAGACCGTGCACAAGGTTTTTTATCGCGGTATAGAGCGCTGCGTATTTGGGCTATGTTCTGCTAAGTACGATTCTCCAATGACAGAAATTCTTGATCGTTGGAAAGAATTAGTGCTATTACCTTGGTTGCGTGTGATAGAAGGCAGGCGTCTTGAAGGTCAATGCAAATGCGCGAAAGGACGTGGTATCGAATCGCTTACGGGCTTGGTCAATCTAGTTATTGACGAGAACTATGTTCGGGCTCGTATTAATGAGCTCTATGATATCATTGCTGACTTTCCAGAATCAATGTGTGCCGTGAATGAGCTGCGAGCTACCCTTTCGCGCACGCAGCAACACCAGCTCCTAGCGCGCTCTCTTCGTTCGACATTGCAACGAAGGCTCCTGCATTCTGGCGCTAACTCCTCTCAGATCATAGATGTCTACATTTCCACAATCAAAGTGTTGCGCATCCTAGACCCTCGTGATATTTTACTTGATGTTGTGGCTCGCCCTGTAAGGGTATATCTGCAGCGTCGAAAGGACACGGTTCGCTGTATAGTGGCAAACCTCACGGATGAATTATCGGGGGAGCTTTATGAGGAGTTGCATCGAATAGATGCACCTCAAGTGGATTATGTCGGTGACTCCGAAGATGAAATTGCAGAGGCAGGTATTGACTGGGCCCCAAGATCAAATAAATCGCGCCTTGCTAATTCTAGCTCAGTGGGAGATATTCTCTCGATGCTTATTTCTATCTACGGAACTAAAGAGATTTTTGTGAACGAGTACCGCTTCATGCTCGCCGACAAGTAAGTGCTAAGTTTTTCTTTCGATTCAGTTGCGATTGTAAATGTATAACAGGTTAATTGCTAAAACAGGGTTGTACGAAACAGCGAGGGAATTGAAAAATTTAGAATTGTTGAAGTTCCGGTTTGGTGATGCGTCGCTTCATCACTGTGAAATTATGTTGCGCGATGTTGAGGACTCAAAGAGGCTAAACAAGCACGTCTCGAGCGAGTTCCTTCAGGCTACAGTTGTTTCACAAGTGTTTTGGCCGCCTCTCTCTGACGATGTAATCACGATCCATCCGCGCATGGCAGGGTCTTACATCTTACATGTTCGATGTCAATTTCTCTCAGGCAAGTAGATTTGTCGCTTCGATCATTTGCAGAGATGTACAATGCCTTGAAAGCCCCTCGCAAGCTAGTTTGGAAGAAACAGGTTGGCTTGGCTCGACTCAAGCTTGACTTCGATGCTGGAATTAGTAAGGTTTTTGACGTCTCTCTGATTCATGCAACAATTATCATGCATTTCCACGACTGTGATATGAACACCCTACAAGATCTTGTAGCTGCAACTAGCATCCCAGAGAGCTTGATGCAGAAAAAAATTGCTTTTTGGATTAATCATGGTGTCATTGAAGAGATAGCTCCCCGTGTGTATGCAATTTCTTCACAATATTTCAATACAGACTTATCAAATTTCAATCCAGCGACTCTTGATGAGGAACATTTATACACCAGCACTCATTCCGCCCGCAGCGTCCCCGACGATCATGGTCTATGTAGCCAGTATATACTTGGCTTGCTCACAAATCTCGGTCTGCTTCCCTTTCTTCGAATACACGACTTGCTCAGGGTTCTCATGAGCCGGGACAATATCTCCTCTCGTCGTCTATCAAGGGTTCTAGAGCAAATGTGCATACGTCATGAAATCGAATACTCTCGTGGCCTGTACAAGCTCACTCGGAGGGACAGCGCCTAATGCCAATGCTCGAAAACATACCACAGCGCAGGGAAGCGATTGGATCTGAAGTAAGGGGTACTTAAACATTAAGCCTCGGCTCGGTTCCTTTGAATTCATAAGGTCATTCAAGTGCGGAGTCTACTCAAGTGGAGATGCGCGGCCAGCAAAGTTCCGGTCGCCCGGGCGGGAAACCCAACGGGGCGGAGTTCGCGGCTTGCCCGCCCCCCCAGGCAGTGGTGTTTCCAACTTGGCGACGCAGAATAATTACCAAGCTAAAGGCCTATAGAACTAGCCTAGCTGAAGTCAGGGTCGGAATCGAGCTCCAAGGTCACTTTCGGACGGCTCAGCAGCCCCGAAAAGAATCTCCTAGAAGGTAACTTACCGTCCGATGTCGCGGATGTCGGGCCCGATGAACGTGTCGTCCGTCTTCGGCCAGTCGTCGGCGTCATCGTCGCTGTCGTATGTGTCTGCCGCCGGCGGCGCAGGCGGGCCGACCGCAGGGTCGGGTGGGACAGTGACGGTCATGGATGTCTCGTCGAGGGTCCCGTGCGGCGGCCCGATGTACCGGTAGGATCGCACGCGGCGGGTCGCCCGTCCGACGCGCACGTGTATCGCACTGATCCCGCCACGGAAGTCGGGACCGACGTACCGCGCAGGCGTACTGCGCGTGGCAAACCGGCCGTTTGGCGAGGTATTGTACGCCGCCACGTGGCTGTAGAACGGCATCGCCCACGATATGTCGGGCCGCGTGCCGAAGAGTATGCTGTGCGCGCTGCCATTCTTGCCGGCGGCGCAGTTGGCCTTGGCAATGAAGTCCTGGGCACACAGCTCCCAGAGGTTTTCGGGCGCCTTCGCTGCAGCAAGCGCCGGGCGCACGCCTTCGTAGATGCGCCTGTGTGCGATCTCGGCGGCATCGACGTGGACCTCCGAGACGCGCGGACGTGGCGCGATACCAAGGTCGGCGTACATGGTGAGGCGTAGGGCTTCTCGAAGTCCGCGATGCTCTCGGCGAACTGGGCCGGCGCGCGGCCCTTGCTGACGTCGATGCCCTTCATGATCGAGTCCCGCAGGTCGACTTTCGGGATCTCGTGGCCGTGGGCCTGTTTGTAGGCGCGTTTGAGCGCGTCCACGGCGAGGCAGAAGTGTTCCACGGACCCTTGGCTGTTGAGGTTGGGCTCTTGCATCATCCGCTTGACGTCAAGTTGACGTACATCGTCCTTCACGATGGCGAAGGCCGCGACGATCTCGGCGAGCATGTCCTTGTTCGTGTCGCCGGTGCTGTCCATGATCAGATCTAATAGCGCTCCCTCGCTGTAGTTGCGGATGTAATACCGCAGGGTCACGTCGCACATGTCCATCTCGCTCTTGGTCATTTAAATTCGCGCTTCGGCCCGGGCGGGAGGGGCGCGACGGCTGGGGCTAGCACGTCCCTCGGACGCGTCGTGGTTCCCCGCATTTATCGTGGCACTCTTAACTGAATTGAGCTCAGCCTCCCCCTTGAGGGAGGAGTTTACTCTGCTTCCTTTAGCTCAGGCTAGTGGGAGATACGAAAGGCCAAGCGGGCGGCAATTGCATTACGCAGTACATGCTGCATGTTTCTGGCGTATTTTTTGTCCGACCCTCCTTCCTAGCGATAAATCGCTGCAGACCATGTTGGGCGCTTCCTCCTCTGTACCGTTTCATTCGGCTTCGCTGTACGTCGGTGATCTCGCCACAGATGCCTCGGAGGTACGACCACTATACTTATACCTGCAGAAACACGTCCGCGCAGGGACTCCTCTTCGAAATATTCAATACAGTCGGTCCAGTTGCTTCGATCCGCGTATGTCGAGATGCCGTGACGCGACGGAGCCTCGGTTATGCCTATGTCAACTTCCACAACGTCTCTGATGCGGAGCGGGCGTTGGATACTATGAACTACACGTTGATTAAGTCAAAACCATGCAGGATCATGTGGTCGCAACGGGACCCGACATTGCGCAAGTCTGGTGTTGGCAATGTCTTTGTCAAAAATCTGGACTCATCCATCGACCACAAAGCTCTGTTTGACACATTCTCTCTCTTCGGGAACATTCTGTCGTGTAAGGTGGCAACAGATGAGGCGGGTCGGTCGCAAGGGTATGGCTATGTTCATTACGAATCCGAGGATGCTGCAACAGATGCCATAAACAAGATTAACTCGATGACTATATGTGACAAGGAGGTTTATGTTGGCCACTTCGTGAGGCGTACAGAGCGGTCCGGGCAATCAGACTGGACAAACCTGTATGTCAAGAATTTTCCTGCTGATTGGGACGAAGCAACGCTTCGCAAGGCTTTCGAGATGTTCGGTGCCATAACGTCGTGCAAAGTTCAGCCACTCACCAAGGCCCCCGTGGCAGCCAAAATGTCAGCCATAGATCAGGATACAGATCTGGCTGCCAAGGCTGAGGGACGCATTGCAGCTCGTGAGAAGGCAGAGGTTGCTAAACGTGTCGCCCTCGATGCTGGTGACGACGTGGCCGCTGCCGCAGCAGAAGAGGCTCTGACGGCTCTTGCAGGCGAAGAGGCCGACGCTGCAGCGGCCGCAGCTGCTGCTGATGGTTCTGCATTTGGCTGGGTGAACTTTGAGGGTCACGACGCAGCCGTTGCCGCGATGGACGCCCTAAACGGGGCGAGTGAGCTGCCTGGACACGCTGGAACCGCCCCAATCACTCTCAAGTCCCCGCTTTTCGTGGGTCGTGCGCAGAAGAAGGTAGAGCGCGAACGCGAACTGAAGGCCAAATTTGATGCAGCCAAAATTGAGCGCATCAAAAAATATCAAGGCGTGAACCTCTTCGTCAAAAACCTTGACGATGCCTTAGATGATGATCAGTTGCGAGAGCATTTCACCGAATATGGTACGATCACCTCCGCTCGTGTCATGCGCGAACCAGCCACTGGTACATCCCGTGGCTTTGGATTTGTCTGTTTTTCCTCACCCGAGGAAGCCGCAAAGGCAGTCACAGAAATGAACAATAAGCTTGTTCTTGGCAAACCAATATTTGTTGCGCTCGCCCAGCGTAAAGAGGTCCGCCGCGCACAGCTCGAGGCGCAACATGCACAACGTCGGACAGCAGGCCCCTATGGAGCGCACCCTGGCGGGATGGGTGCTGGTGGCGTCCCACCACACGGCCCTCAAGGTCTTCACCCTGCGCATCTTAGTGCGCCATATGGTGCCGCAATGCCGATCATGTACGCGGCTGGAGCACCTGGCGGTCATCCTATGGGCATGGCGCCTCAGGGCCACCCCGGTGTCCCCATTGCCGGTGTACCACCCAATGCTCGTGGCTATGTTATGGCACGTGGCTCACCTCGCGGGCCGATGACGGACCCCCGCGCTGGCTTCGGACACGGTGGCGCACCGCGCCAAGGAGGGTACCCAATGCACCCAGGTCAGATGCAACAAATGAGCAGCCAGGGGGGTTCAAATCGGCGTTCAAGGAATCGTGGTGGTCAGGGCGGCCAAGGTCAAGGTGCGCAGCAATATAAGTACACTCAAAATGCCCGTAACGCTGCCAGCATGCCTCCAAATATGCCACAACTCCCTCCGCAAGCACATCTTATGCCGCCCACAGTGGGTCAACAGCCTGGTCAAGGGTTCCCCGGTGGCCCTGGTGTTGCACCACCCATGCCACCTTTACCTCTCCAGCAGCCGCCACCGCCTGGTTCTAGCCAGTCTCAACGGCGAGCGCCTGAGGACCCGCTCACATTATCAGCTCTTGCTAATGCATCCCCGACCTTACAGAAGAATATGATTGGCGAGCGACTCTACCCTTTGATTCATCATTCGCAACCAGAGCTGGCTGGAAAGATTACTGGTATGTTACTCGAGATGGACAATTCCGAGCTCCTGCATTTACTTGAGTCACCAGATGCGCTCCGCATGAAGGTGGCCGAGGCCCTCGAAGTGCTAAAACAGCACCAAGCGCAGCTCCAGCAAGTCCCCCGCGAAGAAGCTGCTTAGGGGGCGCGATGCCTTAAGTTCCCTTTGCGCAAGTTTAAGCCGAGAGAGCAGGCCCGCCGGGCTAAAAATTGCATTTACAGCAGTACAATATGTTTCCGGTAACGGGTTAGTGAGTTCAACGTTAAAGTATAGACCACCCATCATCATCCAGCTAAATAAAACTGCTGGTTGTGGTGGTCCTCTCCCAGCTCGCCGCTTCCCCGGGGTCCGGGGTGGCGCGGCTTATATTTTTTGGGTCATATGCCACTGGTTTCTACTAACATCCAAGGGTTGAGTTTGAGTGATGAGTTGCTGAGGCATTTGAGGGCAGAGATGTGTGGTGTGTATGAAATGGCTATGGGTGTGTCGTCAGAGGACGGCTCCGCCCCGGCTGCGCCGATCCATACCGACATACTCCTGACTTTGATGGTCGATTTACTACCATATGAGAATTCTGATAAATCAGAGTTTTCTGAGGAAAGGTTTCACGGTTTTGAGGCAGCCGCCCTACCCTGCCCTCCTCCATCCCCGCTGAGGTGGCTGCGCCATCCAAGCGCGGTCCGTCGGCCTTCATTCTGGCATCTTTAATTGAAACTGAGCTCAGCCCCCCCTTGAGGGAGGATTTTACTTTGCTTCCTTTAGCTCAGGCTAGTGGGAGATACAAAGGCCAAGTGGACGGAAACTTGACAATTGCAAAGCAACCGGATCGATCGAAAAAGCAATTCAAAAAAAAAAACAATCAGGCTGCGAGCAGCCCTTTTGCAGCGTCGATGGGCGAAATTCTCGTCTTCTCCAGCCCGTAGCTCGACGCAGGCGCAGAGTTGCGCAACGATCCCCGCGGCTGCGAGGACCGGAACCCTGTGTCGCGGACACATTCCCCGCGGGATGTCACTCCCGAGGATTGCGCCGCATCGCGCGCGGGGCGTCCCAAGGGGTCGGAAGAGGGCTTTCGGCGTCCCCCGCACCCTTTTCGACCGTGTTCGAGCGCACGGAGCGTCGGAGATCGTTCGTCTATGTACCGCGGGCGTCCCATTTGATCCGCTCGGCCATCGACGTCGAAAACATCGACCGCCAACGCGCGCATAGAAACGTGGCGCGGCAGCCCGACCGGCCCCCACGTCCAGAAACGCGGTCTGGGCCGTCACCACCGCCCGAGCCCCGTCCCCAGTATATGTCCGGTGGGATCGAGTACATCTCCAGCGGTGGAGGGCCACCCCGCGGTGCCGATCTCGGCCGTTTCGTCGTCCCCATGGAGGCGCGGAACGCCGACTTCTCCGCGTCGGCCGCTGCCGCTGGAGATGGGCTGGATCCTCCTCATACCGCCAAAGAACGCGTCCGACGCGATCTCCAGCGGCAGAGACACCTTCACCGCTGCGGACTCGGCCACGTTCGGAGCGCGTCCATCGCGTGTAATTGCTTCAAGAATCGCAACGATGCAGCTCCTGAGCGGTTGCTTTTGTTGCTTTTTTAGCCCGGTGGGAGGTGTGGCGAAGCACGACAAGTGGCTGCCGCCACACGGAGGGACCCCCAGCAGACCCCGATTTTGGTTTACCATGCCATGAACTTAGACTTTGGCATATACATGATTAGCGATTGGTTCAATCATACCGTTTCATACCATGCTTGTTTCCACCATGCTATATATACACCCTTATTGGTTCCAACATAATAATTTCCCTAAAATATACCACTGGGGCGTATGTGCCTTCCTAGTGGCTCGCTCAGGCTGGTACGGAGCCACTCAGGTTCTTCCCTCCCCCTTAATGCTTTCTAACCCTGTTATAGTTGCGTCCCGCACTGTACATGTAATAGACGGAGAGTCTTCCTGGACCTAGTGAGGCAGATCCTCTGCCCGTTCGCCCCGTAGCCCCGGCCCCCGTATAGGACGGCAGGGCAGCCCCATTAGGCTGCATCCCTGTCCCGGAGTTCACTATCTCGCTACTGGTAGTGTCCTCCTTCATTTCCCCTTTGTTCCCATTGAGCAACATTATTGTGCTGCGACGGTGCGGTCACGGGCGGAGTCTGCGGTAGCTTGCAGCAAGTTTGCCGAGGTGGCTGTGGCGAACCTGTTCAAGATCCAGCGCGTCATGAGTCTCTTCCGCTGCCCTGTTGTGATTCTTGAACTCGAGTTTGACATCTTCGTCCTTCGAGGTGAGAAATCTCTGGTGTGCCTCGCGACATTGTGCCAGTGCAAAACGATGACAAGCGTCTATCCGCTGGAGACCGGCGGTAGCAGCATCATAAGCAGCCAATGATGCGGCAATCGACGAGTCCAAGGCGTCGAGCGTCGCGGCTTTGACCCGTCTTTGCTTTAGATGGCTGTCTGCGAGGTTCTCAGCATGGCTCTTGACCTCATTGCGTGGTTCGGTAGCACCTATTTCAACGTAGTGATGATGGTGTTGTGCGGCGGCCTCTGCAGCGAGCAGCGCGCAATGCTGTTCTCGAAGAACACCTGCCATTTCAAGGACAGCGACATACTTGTCGACCCATTCTGCACGTAATGCTCTTATCTTTGCGGAAGCTATTAGATGTGCAGCCTTGAGGCTTGCACGGTGCGTGCTTGCAGCCTGAGCTTCCTTGCCCTCCCAGACGACTGCAATTTTTTGAATGTGACAAATGGAGGCATCGATTGTCGTGTCACGCCGCCGTGCAAGATGTGAGGCTGCCTCTGCAACGGCATCGGCAACAGTATTGTCGCGGACCAACGCTGCCATCTCCCCCCATGCAATCTGGTCAGCAAGTCGCACTTTGATCACGACAGCCTGCCCACGGAACAGGAGGCGCATCGCCATGTCGCGCTCACGAACAAGCCGCGCGTGCATCTCTTTGAGACGCTGCTCAACAACGGCTCTTCGCTTACCCTGCTCGTGCTGGTACCACAGCGATTCCTTCTGTCGCCATTCAAATAGCTGTACTCGCAGCTGTGATAATGCGTCCGCTTGCTCTTTTAGTGCAGTCGCGTACCGTCTTCTTGCTTCCCGCTCCATTTCAACCTCACGACGCCTGAGATGCTTCCTTCCATCAAGTTCACTCGTCATATGCTTCTCTCGAGCTGCATCCCAGATCCTTGATTGCTGCGTAGTTAGTTCCACGTCTACGCCAGCGCGCAGTGGCGCCTTGTTACGTCCCAACGTGTAGTTTGCTTTCCAATATCACCACGATGTTTCTCCATCAGTCGATTGAGTTCAGGTTCTAGTCCCTTAACTGTAAACTCTCGGATTGATTCGGTTTGCGCCCGTAGGTATCCCTTCTTTCGAGAATTCATACCCCTCTCCCACCTAGTTATCTCAACATACAAGCAATGACCTCTTAGCACGACACCGCACACGACGCTGCTCTTGATGTTGTAACTAGAGCACTACACTCAGATGCTGCTCTCGAGACGACGTGTGTCATCTCATATTCATCAGCCTGAGGATCCAATTCATTAGAAGCACACAATTATAAGTTCCACTTTCAGACGCAACATATGCCTTGGCTTTGGAGTTCAATTCTCTGCAATTGATGGACAGTTGCTTTTTGGCGTGAACAAGTCCCTAAAAGGTCTGGATACATCCCACTCCTTTGCACCTCCACACTGGGATCGCGCTTCGACTTGGCCTAGATGTTTGAAAAGCATGCTGTGGTGCTGGTTTGACGCGTTTCGAACGAGCGTGGCACCCCGCTCTTTAAGCTCATCGATCTCTCGACGTCGAGCAGTGATTTCTTTGCCAATTGCACCGCCCAACAGCCGCGCCGCTTTCCTTTGATCATCAAGATCCATTTTCATCTGTACAACGCGGGCCTTAATTGCCATGCTTTTACGCGACAAATATCTGACAAATCTTCAAGTTTGATTCTCAATTTAGCCGGCGCACACATGGGTGGCGCTGGCCTGCTGAAAAAGACGCGCCGACCACTATTGCGTGCGTAATACTCGGTCAGATAAAGAATAATGCAAAACTATCCTGCGGAACTTGTGGAGAAGCCGCGGCCACTATGTTTTGTGCTCTCTGAGCTAGGCGGGGAAGGTGGGCTTGGCGACCGTTTGATCGCTGGCCTGCTAGCCAAGGAGAATGAATTCGAAGCTAAGCTTCGATACAAATCCGTTCCACTGACCCATCGTTTCATGAGGAAGAGGGACAACGATTTGGATCGTCGTGCATCAGACGGCTGCCCATTGGAGACATATGTCATACGCGGACTGTTGAAAACTGCGTGGTTACAGCGTCAATTTTTGGAACGTCCAGGCGTTGTTGTCATCACGAGGCGTGCACCAAATATCCACGACTTACATATACCCGAGTCAATTGTCGAAAAATTGGATTCTCTGCGCCTAGATCTTACCGGCCGTGATGTTTGCATGATATTGGTGCTCGTGGTACCAAACTCTGAGGGGCAGGACCGGCTTGAAGGCTCCACGGCTGATGGTGTGAGCACTGAAGACTCCTCACCAATGCAAGCTATTGAGGAGATGCCCACGAGCATAATCGAACCCTCGAAAAATCAATGTTCTAGTGGTACACCTGCTGAAAACGTCTCTGCGGGCGGCAATGTTTACATCTCACATGAAAGTTATGGTATTCTTTTGTGCTTAGTATAAACCCAGTGTCAGAGGTCTACGTATAGGTAGTGCGGTCCCGACATTACATTCGGAGGACAATGAGAGGCTGTTGATGTCGGTGCGTAGGCGAACTCTAGGCAATAATCGGGCGTTTCTACAGCATGATTTTAAAATCAACTGTTCGAGCTTAGGTGCATCAAGTCTCTTTGCCAATCCCTGCGTGAAATTATAATGCAGAAATCCGCATAAGTACGGCGGCGCGCTGATTACCTATGATTTTTTGCAGGTGCTTCGTGATAGTGATCTTACTAGAGACCACCGGGGCCGCATAAAACAACTTCGATGTATGCTGCAAGACTGTGCTTTGCGGCACTACCTCAATCGTGCTCGGAGAATCAAGAAGTGGGAAAAGACTCTGCAGTGTTGGACTGTGTCTCGTTTGTAACAGTCCCGCGACAAATCCTCATTTCATGATAGGAGACGGGGTTCGTCATCGGCTCCATTAGTTGTGCGATATTCTTTTAAAGTTGCATGGCTCTATGAATTTCAGGGGCACAACGAGAAGGCATTGCGTCATTATAGAATCGCGTACAATGCATTATCAGCACTATCTTGTGTGGGTGTGAAGTCTCTGAGTGCTCCATCACCGTTCCCACCCGAATTTGGAGATCCCCGTGGTCAAGTTAAAGGTGTTGCCGACTATGCCAATTTCAAGATATGCCGCCTCGCGCTACAACACAACCGAATAAGAGAGGCAGCAACGCAAATCCAAACACACCTTTGGCACTTCAGGAAGGTGCCTGCAAGTGACGCGCCTCATCAGCATTGGGGTTGGCTCAGTCGACAGCATGTTGTTTTTGCACAGCTGATTGCACATCATTCTGCACCAAATCTGGCCGATGATCTGACGTTCTCAGTTGGCCGCGCCCCGTGGGGGCAGAGCTTCCGGGCAAATCAAATACATGAGTCAAAAATGATTGCTGTAAGACAGGGAGTAGGCAT